AAGAGGGTGGGGTGAGTGACTCACTCCTTCAGCAGGACCACATCGGCCAGCACACTGAACATCTGGTAGAGCCCAGAAGCCTCATTCACACGCCGGAGGATGGAGCTGGCCAGCTGCGTGCTGTGGTGCTCGGTGGAGGGCCAGGTGATGCCGTGGTGGCGGTGCTCCAGCAGCCGGTGAACAGCGCGCACTGGAAGGGCCAGAGGGAGGAAAGGCACGTGGCACTTAAGAATTTATTTTCCGCCATAAGGAGGGACAGAAGGTCCCCGTCGACTTCTCTGAACTCAATACACGCTGTACTCATGATGCCAAGAAGAGGCCTTTAGAGCAGGGTCAGCCAATGGTTTCTGTGTAAGGCCAGATGGGAAGCATTTTCGGCTTTGCAGTCTGTCTACTCAATTACCCCTCTGGTGTGGAAGCAGCCACAGAGCACAGCTAAGTAAAGGGGCATGGCTGGATGTGGTCCCCAGGCCAGTGTTTGCCCCCCTGCTTTCGCCATCTGCATATGGAAGTCCCACAGCTGTCACTCCACATGTGGTGTGTCAAAACTAGACCCAGAGCCTTCCTCTGCAACCTCCCCCTTCTCATAATCCCTGTTTCTATCAGAGGCTCCCAAATGGAAAACCTTTGACCGTGCCCTCTCCTTCACAGCCTGAATCCAGTCTGTCACTAAGTTCTATTTTGAGATACTTTGTATATTTATGTCAGGACAGAAAAGCAGCAGCTATCTAAAACGACAGGGAGACCTCTTTCTGTATATCTGGGGCTGCCAGATACAGTTGTGAAACTGGGGCACAGCACACAGGTGCCTGCTCTTCCAAAATGAATGAACACAACATCCCAATCCAGTAAAGGCAAGGACATAGCTCACGTGACAGGGTCTCAGCTGGCCCACAGTCATAGGAAGACGTGCAGCCTCACCAAGACATCTGGCTTTCTGGAGGAAACCATGGCTAAGCTGAGTTTTGCAAAAGATTGAGGAATTACACAGCTAAAGAAGTTTAGGAACAGTGCCCTGACAAAAGGAGCAAATATGTGAAGAAATAAAATCTTGAGAGAGACTGGCATGTTTTAAAAGCAGGTGAGGGACCAGGTTGGAAAGGTGGACTGGTGTTGGCCTGCGCAAAGCTCCGAATGCCATGCCCAGGAGCTGGAACTCTCCCTACGGAGATGGGGAACCACTAAAGATTTGCAAATACAAGAAGGATAAGGTTTATTATTATTTTTTTGTAAGAAAGGTTGTTTTGGTGGGTACTATAGTGTCTGGGTGGGATGGGAAGCAGAAAGATCAGTGGCAGAAGACCAGTCAGAAGAGATGTAGAGGCCCCAGGTCAGGAAAGTGAGGCAGGGATGGACTGGAGGGAGGTGGGGGATGGGTAAGGCTTCCGGCATGTCCTCCCACGAGGTTGTGGTCTGTGCTGCCCGTCTTTTATCTTCTGTTGTTTCACTCTGCCTTACTGTTTGCTACTTGTCTCCCTCGGGTCCTGTTTCTCAGCTGAATGGTGAGCAGGGTTGGGGCAGAACGTACTGTGTACAGCCACACTGTCCCTCTCCTAGGGGGTTCCTCAACCAGTAGTGACCACAGCAATCTGTGGCCTATGCACCCACGACTGTTTCTCATTTGCCTGAAGCTCTGCGGGTAGCTGTGAGCATTACAGTCGGCAGATGTGGGTTCAAATTCCACCTCTGCCACCCACTGGCTGGGTGACTTTGGGCAATTTGCAGGATGCAGGACCTTTATGATATTTACAACAGAATTAACTGGCTTATGTAACACCCACCATGCAATAAAGTGTCCATTGGACAGCCTCCCTAGAAGGCAGAACATTTATACCCTTAGTACCTAGAATTCTGAAAAGGAATAAATATAATCCAATTGCAATTCTTACTCAAATTTGTCGTTTCTTAAAAACTCTGTGTGAGATGCACCATAGCAGCACAGTCCCAGGTATGGCCTTCTTTAGTCCTTACGACAGCCCCTTGAGGGTGGGGAGTTCCCCTCATTCAAACCTCTGACATCAGGGTATCCTACAGAGGCTTAGAGAGGTTATGAAGCCTAACCTCTGAGGCCACCCAGCTGGGGAGGAACCCAGGTCAACCTTCCTCCAGCTCCGTGTTCTCATGGCCCTTTACCCGCACAGGGCACAGGCATGTAACATGCCCCCCCAGATGTACATACTTTTATACCTTATCTGATGCATTTCTAGACATATCCTCAAACCATGAAAATCCACTGCTGCCTGCCCCAGACACAGTCTGAGGGGCCTGTGAGCAGAAAGCGTTGTTAACTTATGATAGTCGACCACTGATGAGCAATCCCTTTAAGGCTGCTGGAAACTGGAGTGTCTTTATTGACTCTGGGGATGGTTGTATCTGGGCTCACCTGTGTATCGGAATCCATGGATGAAGCCCCCAGCAGATTTCCGGTAATCCACAGAGTGGCTGGCCGTACCCAGGACAAAGAGACCACGGCTTCCTTTGGACTCGTAGCTAGCTCTGACCAGTGGGTACTTCTTGCTGAACTCACCCCCTGGAGACAGTCTGAGGGACCTGTGAGCAGAAAGCATTGTTAATAAAAATCACTGCTATGCCTGGCTCTGAGCAAAGTGCTTTAAATTCCTTACTGTATTTAAATTATACCATGACCCAGGAGGCGGGTACAATCATCTCCATTTAACAAATGGAGTAACTGAGGCTTGGGGTAAAGATGTGGTGGGTCGGGGTCAGGGTAAGGATTCAAGCCTGACTCAAGGCTGGGCTCTGGGCTAAGACGCGGCCCTGTGTGACCAGATGGGACAGGAGGGTCTGGTTCAGGCCCTCCAGGTTCTTGTCCGCCTGTGCCTTGGCCAGAAGGAAAGTGAGACCCTGGATGGATTCTATGATACTAAGCCTTGCTAAGGTACTGGGGCAGCAATGTCTAAAGATCCACAAAGCAGTTCTTCAAAATACAATTATAAATGATTTCAGCAGCTAACATTCTATTGAGCATATAGTATATGCCAAGTAGTTTCCTATATTTACCCTCACAATAGCTCTATGAAAAAGAAACTATGATCCCCATTTTAATGATGATGCTGGGGTCAAGCGTGGTTAAATAACTTTCCCAGAGCTCACAGATTTGGTAAGACAGAATCTCAGATCGACCCCTGAGTCTGTGCTCCTCGCCACCACACTGCCTTCCAGCAAATTCACCTCCTGGTTCTTGCCTTCCCATCTCTGGGGTGGAGGATCACAACACAGAAGAAGACTCAGTTCTGCTGCTGCTCCAGGATGGAGGGTCTCAGAGCCACCTGGGACCCTCCTCAGTGGACAGAGAACTCATGGCTGGGTGGGAAGCCAGGCAGCATCCACATCCAGGCTGAGGGTGGAGTCCCAGAAGCCTTGGCACTGGCCCTGCTGGACGGGACACTGCTCCCCCCAGGGAGGCGTCAGAGGGGTTTGCTATGAGATCCCAGCTCCTCCCTGACTTGGACTCACTTGTTAAAAATGGAGAAGTCGAAGTTCCAGCCCAGGCAGCGGATGACCCGGTCGTAGGCCACACGCATGGCAAAGTTGTCACTGTCGTCCTGGGGAAGGGTGATGGCTTCGGCGCTCTGGTTGCTTTCCTCCACGTAGAACTTTAGGGTGATGTGGAACTTGCCCTCACGGTCCTTTACAACAGCCAGATCTGTCAGGTCGGACTCCANCTCACGGTCCTTTACAACAGCCAGATCCGTCAGGTCGGACTCCAGCAACCCATCCAGGGACTTCAGCTGGTAGGTGTCCAGCAGGCCGTTGTTGACGGCCCTGGGGCCCAAGGGATATGCCAGGAGAGAGAAAGGAGTCTGTATTGGGTACAAGGGGACTCAGAGGAAGAGCTGGTTAGTCCAGCTGGGGTCAAGAATGGCTTTGGAGGGGTCAGAACACACAGCTCACTAGCAGCAGCTGCGTGGCATACCTGAGGTCTCCTACGTAGTGGGTGGCCCAGGAGAGCCGCACCCGGGAGCGGCTCAGCATGTGGATAAAGTTGGTGACACCCAAGATGTTCTCTGATGTCTCAAAGGCTGAGTTCCCTCGGCCCAGGATGAGCACATTCTGACCCACAAAGTCCTTGGGGTCCACGGACACGGACTCGTAACCCTCCACATATTCGGAGCCAGGGAAGTCCACAAGGTTGGGGATTGACAAACCGGTGGCGACAAGAAGGACGCTGAAGGTGGAGGGACAAAGGGAAGTTGGCTTAGTCTCTTAGCTATAAGACAGTAAGTAAAAATCGCTCTTTGGGACTGCCACTTGGCTTGTCCACCTGACCCAGACTGCTGGCTCCTAAAAGAAAACAGGACATTCATTCATCCTTTTACTGACCCATCCCAGTGTATGTGAGACTTTACCCCTGCCCCTAACTGAGCTCACTCCAGCCCCTAACTGAGCTCACTCCAGCCCCTAACTGAGCTCATTCCAGCAGACAGTTTCCTTTATCCCTCACTGGGATTATACCAAATATAAGAATGAATTTGACTGACAGAAGGCGACACCGNCCTCACTGGGATTATACCAAATATAAGAATGAATTTGACTGACAGAAGGCGGCACCGTGAGAAAACGAGTAATTCACCTAATTCTGAACACAGCAGTCAGACCAAGTATCACCTTCAGTGATGAAAATGAGACTTGGTGTTCCCCTTTCCCCTTTCTGACTCGTTTGGCAGATGCAGAAATCTGCTGAGGAGTAATTCTCTACCAGGCATTATACAGTTTTATGTGCCATCTTACTGCTCAAAGCAACCCTGACTTGTGTTATCTGGCCTGCTTTACACGTGAGGAGGAACAGGCCCACGGCCAGTGTCCAAAGCTCCTAAAGCTCCCAAGACAGCAGAGCCAGACTCTGACCACAGATCAGCCTGATTCCAAAGTCCTGCCCTTAGTATTGGTGGGCAGCTGGATCCTGCTAGCCTGCAGAAGAATGACTTGATCACAGGGTGGTTTCAAAAATTGAACTGGAAAAAAAAAAAAAATCAAACCGGATGGCCTGTAGAAGAAGCACGCACAGCTCCTATCCCTCCATGTCTTCTGACTCTTGTCCACTCTGCTCATATCTGACTCCCCTACACTGTAGCACAGCTGTTTAAATGCAAGGGTCAAAATGGCTCAACCCTTCTTTCCCTGGGTTGTAACAAGCAAGGAGTAAGGCTGGGCCTCTGGCAAAACACCGGGAATATGAACTCTGATGGAGCCCCTGCTGGGAGCCAGGTGCTCAGCTAATGGCCAGGAAGTGAGAGGCAATCTGGTGCAGCGGAAAGAACCCGGGCTTCGGGGTCAGAAAGATATGAGTGCAAAGCGCAGCTATACCACTTACAAGCTGTGTGACATAGCACCCGTTGCCGGACTCCTCTGCGCCTCAGTTCTTCATCTATAAAGCGGGGCTCAGTGAACCTCTCCCGTGAGGTCCTAGCGAGGCTGAAGCAAGTGCAGGACAGTTTGTGACTCTGAATTTGGATTGTCTCCAGGACACGAAGCTAAAACTGAATGCTGGTAGCACTGCCTACAGGGCCTTTTCCCTCCTGTTCAGTTCCGAAATCCCACCGGGCCCCTCTAACACTTGCCAGACCCAGCATTTCTCAGGATGTATTCTGGGAAACACTAGTTCTGGGAGATGTTCTACAAAAAGGGTTTTGGGGGGTACATAAGCTTAGGCAGTGCTACATGCCCAATGTTGCTGGAGCATAGCGGTGACCATGAAGCTGTTAAAGACTGACAAATCCTGAAGGAAAGAACTGGTAGTATTTTCCACACATATTTGATCACATTGTTTTAGGGCACATGTGGGAAACGGTGGCTGAGCTACACCTCTTGGCACTGCGGCTCAGTGGGCGCAGGGGCGGCAGATTCCTCCCATTCCTCCCCACCAGCCGGCCAGCCGGGGGTGCCCGCTCCTCCAGGGCAGGCCCGAGCTTCAGGGGCGCTGGGGCCCGTGCCCTACCTGCACTGGTAGCCCCGGCCCTTCTGGTCGGTCAGGATGAAGTAATGGCCGTTCCAGGCCTGCGGATCCCTGTCCCGAGTGACGTGGGCGATGGAGGTGTTGTAGAGCACGCGGAGCCCCAGCCGGTCGGCGAAGTCGCCCAGGTAGCGCACCATGTCGCCCGCGTCGGGGAAGAAGGCGCGGGAGTAGTGCCTGAAGAGCAGCCGGGGGTCGTGGCTGAGCAGAGAGTTCCAGTCGTGGCGGAGGTTGAACTCGGCGTTGGCCCTGCCCGTGAACCGCTTGTTGATGCTGATGAGCCTGCGGTGCCGCGGGTAGCGCGTGAAGAAGCTGCCGGGCCGCGCGTGGCGCTCGAACACGGCGTAGTCCCGGCCGGCGCGCTGCAGGAAGTAGGCCATCTGCAGGCCCGCGGGCCCCGCGCCCAGCACGCAGTAGTCGCGGG